AATCAGGTCTGGACAAGGCTTGATTTCTTAGAAATGGAATACTTTTATGAATTATCTATGGATGTAGAGCAATGAATCTGCCCTTTAAGGCTTTAGTTCTAAAATTCAATAGAGAAGAAACTATTTAGTGAATGTTTGCTAAGCTTAAAAAAGTTCCATTTAACTAATTTATAATTTGAGTAAATAAGTCAACAAAATGCAGAAATAAGTTGCATACCCTTACATATAAAAAATGAGTAATTATTTATTTATTTTAAAATTACCTATATTTTACCATTATTAAATCAAGTCTTCCCTTAAATAGTATTCTGGCTGCGGTCCTGTCCAGTATCATTGTCAACCTTTTTAATTTACAACATCATTAGTCCTTAACGTACAGTTTATATCAAATTAGCTATTACCAATGCACATGGCCCTCATAAGTTCAGTGTCCTTTCGTACTTTAGCATCTTTCGAGGGTTGTTTATAGTTAAAGATCAATGACAGAAACTGTCCACTAAGGATTAATGGTGCCATAAAGTCCAAAACTTGGGGTTAGTGCTGTCAAAAACATTAAATTGGGTGCCAATTTTTACGCGTTTTATGTAATGTAAATTAATCCACAAGTGTACAGTGTTATGTTTTGTAATATACGATCAAGTATGGATGTCGAACTCATAGGGATTGAAATTCAATTTATACCAAGTACTATAATTATTTTAGCCTCTATTTTATCTAAACGAATAAATGTGGTAATCAATGTTTCTAAACTAAATCTAATATGATGGTGATGACAATTCAACAATATTTTGCAAATTTGAAAGAATAAACCAATATGAGAAAGCCTAGGGCATGACTTCACCTCATTATCAACAATGTTTATCGATTAAATAGTTACTTCTAATCAATTTATCCAAGTTTATAAGAACCTTAATTTAATTCTACTCCCTCCCTCGAATGCTGAGTAAAAACTATTCTTACACTTAAATTTTAATATCTATATTTCGAATTAAAATCTAGAAATTATTAAGTTCGTGGTTCTTAAAAGGAACATGCTTTGAAGATTTTATAGTCTCTCTCGAAATTTATAAAATTTAGGTTGTGTTATTCTTAGATCGCGCCTAAATTCCCCTCTCTCAAGTTTTGAAATTGACTAGCCTCTAATCATTCAATTATTGATCAGGTAATTGAAATCATTAAACCAATAACACAAATAAACTTTAATGGAAAAATTGAAGGAAATAAATAATATAAAATCAAAACATGGTCTTAAGTTTGGTTACATCAAACCCTAGATATAATGTTTAGTTCATGATAAAAAAAGCATGGAAACTATCAAATTTATAAAGAGCAACATAGAGGAGAAAAGAGAAGACCTAGTGTTGTAGAGATTCAATCTCCTCTGTATTAATCTTGATTCCTTGCTTTGTTTCTTGCCTCTTGTATTCTTGCTTCGTTGAATTCTCCCCTTAAAATTGGTCTTTAGGGTTGTATATAGTCTCTCGAAGTTCCAAGAAGAGTTTGAGTCGGATTGGACTCTTTAAAAACGCCAAAAATTAAAAACCCTAACTCCCAGCGCAGCTTTATTCTGAGTTTCTCCTGGCTGAACTGGCGCTGCGGCACCTATTTGCTGGCTTCTTCTTTGCTTTGGTTATTCCTTTTTCAACCTTCTAGGATTACTTTCAAGTCTCTTCCACGCCTATTCACACTCCTATAAACTCTGGCCCGTTTTCACGCTCCAAACTCGTCGTTTTCACCAGGTTACCTTACATGTAAAACAACATGAACTCGCATCAAAACGTACTAAATTGCTCAAAGACAATTAAAATATCAAGTTTAAGTGGCATTAAAAACAATGAGTAAAACTCACTCATCACCAACTTTCTATAGTTCTAATAGGTAGGAACTGATAGTGCAATTTTCCCAAATCTCAATACACTTTAGTGTCTATTTACTTCTTCACGTTGGCCTTGTATTTCACCCCACGTGTCCAATCTCTTACATTGTCTCCCTACGTCTCTCTTGACCTTCCCTGTTCCTCCCCGTTTCACTCTCCAGCACTGCTCCCATTCCAAACTTCACAAATAATCTATATTTTACATTATACATAAGTTTCAGGGCGTTAGATCCTTTTTGTTCTGTCGACGACAAATGAGATGCAATTTTGTGGACTTAGTTATTTCTATGCTGTCATTTTTTCAAGTTCTTTTGTCAGAATCAGGGTACGTCGGGACATGTTAATCACATTGAAGCATAAATAGAGCATTTTTGTTGTTTAACTCTTGGAGTGAACTGTTCCTCTGTTCTACTGTTTATCTTCTTGAATGTTGTTCCAGTACTATAACTTTCGAAGTTTTGACAAATATTTCAGGAAAGCATTGCAGCAGAATTCTTGGACAAACTTGTAAAGTGGTGCAAGAACATCAAAATTTCAGACCCCTTGGAGGAAGGTTGCAGGCTTGGTCCTTTGGTAAGCAGTGGACAGGTAAGAAAACTTGTATTTAGCTCTGTTTTCTCAAACTCAAGCAAGATATGGGGCTGAAAGATTTAGATCATTACCTGCAAAAGTTCCGTTAAATGCTATGGCTGAATCTTACACATAATAAGAAACTTATGTTGATAGAAACTGTTGAATATATTATGTTTCAATTCTTTTGTAATATTTTGTGCATGCATACCATGAACATATTAAGTCTTGCACTCTCATTTATTCCTTACTGGAATGAAAATATCAGAAATTATATTACTCATTACTCAAATTTGGTATTTTACAGTATGAGAAAATAATGAAGTTCGTCTCAACAGCCAAGGATGAAGGTGCCACCATCTTGTGTGGGGGGGAACGCCCTGAGGTAAAATTCCTTAATCATAGCCTATGGCAAGATTGTATATCAGCTTATAAGGATATTGACCTAGCTTTATGATTGATTTGCAGCATTTAAAGAAAGGCTACTTTGTGAAACCAGCCATAATAACAGACGTAAAGACCTCCATGCAAATCTGGAGAGAGGAAGTATTTGGACCAGTTCTTTGTGTTAAAACATTCAAAACTGAAGATGAAGCCATTGAACTAGCAAATGACACCCAGTGAGCTGACTATTTGTCATCCTTAATGCTTCTGTTCCCTGAGACCTTTATTTGTGATTTAAATTTTCTGTTGTCATTGACCGGATAATTGTTGACAGTTATGGTTTGGCTGCTGCTGTATTATCACAAGATCTGGAAAGGTGTGAGCGGATGACCAAGGTGAGAATCATTTCCAATTATGATCAATATTTTAAAACCCAGCCTGGCAGGTTGGTCTTTAAATCACTGCTTATGAAAATTAACTGTAAGCTGCACTTTAAACCTCAACAAACAAATATGAAGGCTACTTGGTGTTGGGGATAACTATGAATGGTGTTTCTTTCTTTTATGCAGGCTTTTCAGGCAGGGATTGTTTGGGTCAACTGCTCACAGCCTTGCTTCTCTCAAGCTCCATGGGGAGGCAAAAAGCGCAGTGGTTTTGGGCGTGAACTTGGAGAATGGTAATATTATGTTTTCCCCCCTCTTTCTGGATTTTTTTTTTTTTTTTTTTAATCAATAAGCGTTCTTAAACCTTGCTAGTTGACAGTCTAGATGCCTTATTCCCCCCGCCCCCCCCGGGGTCGTATCATTTTTAAGATGCTTCTGATTATCTTAGGTGTATTTTTACCTGTACTTGAAACCCAACTAAACTAGATAACTTGTTCTTTTCTCAGGGGACTGAACAATTATTTGAATGTAAAGCAAGTCACACAATATGTATCTGATGATCCATGGGGCTGGTACAAGTCTCCTTCCAAGTTATGAAAACTTTGTCTGGATATAGAAAAACACGAGTTAAAAACTGTCGCTCTTCATCTTATCTTTAGTGAGATGGTCGAACTATGTATCTGATCGCATCATTGAGATGACGTAAACTTGTAACAATGTTTAGTTCGTTGAAATGATTCCTGTAGCCTACTTGGGAAATAAACAATGTAAAACAGCCTTGAATTAAAGTCGTTTTTATTTTATTTGAATTCCTTGTTCAAATTGAAGTCCATCATCGTGCCAACTTACTTAAAAACACCTTGATATGGTCAGCATTTATGATTTAAATAGTCTTTATTTATTTATTTTATTTGTTTAATACACTTTAATGAATTAAGGACAGTAGTTATAGTCTAGATTTTTGGATCCTAATTAGAATAAGTTCTCTTTTCAGCTTTATTTCATTTAAACACTTAAAAACGTGTTCTTTGTTTCCCGGTTGTTTCTAAATCTTACGAATCATTGAATATCTACGTCAAATAATTATATATCCGTTAATTCATGTGAAAATCTCGTATTTGTTCTTGTTTATACTTCTGTTGGCATCATATTTGACAAAGTTTAACTTTTGTAAGTGAGTCAAAGACTCGAAAATTTGAGCCTCATTTTTTAGGGAAAATGTATTTTGAAATAGTGATTTTTCTAAGGATGTGTAGTTAAAAATTAAGGAAAAATTTTAAATTTAAGTGTAAAATTATTTTATGAAAAATGTGTGATTGAAAATAAATTTTAAAATAAATCACGTAGAGTGTACATAAATTGCCTATAATAGGCCATGCATGTGAATCAGGTAACTCTAAAAATGTTGCCAAACGGGGCCTTAACCAATCATGCAATTCTTTGCAAAATTTCATGTTTTCAAAACTCAATACATTATTTGTAGGGTTACCCCAATTAAATGACATAATGTGAGTGGATTAAAATATTGATTGTATTTTTAAGGTAACGAAGTGGCATAATGTGATTGGATGAAAATGTTGACTATATTTAAAGTCATTCAATGATAAAGTGGCATGTGGTGTTACGTCACTCATTGTGTCACTGTAGCCTATTTTTTATTTTTTTAATTTAATTTATTTTTTTATTTCGGCTGTACATTTGGGGTAACCCCACCCGTACCTTCCCCTGCACCCCCCCGCCACGTGAAAAAATAGAGGTTGAAATTCGAAATCCTCACCATCTTGCCTTCATATCCACTCCCCGACCTTACCTTACCTTACCGTACAAAATAAATAAATATTTGGATCTTTTCTGGGATATTGTATTCGCATCGCATATTCTCTCTGTATCTTTTCGTTTCTACTATATTAGTTTGGTGGAAAACTCTTTTTTTTTTTTTCTTTTTCTTTTTCTTTTTATTGTATTCAATAATCTGTTTCTTTGCCAAACTGTGAAAATTTTCTACCTCAACATTGGCCATTGTACATATGTTGTGGGATTGAAGTACACTCAAATCCTGTACATTTGAAGGTGTTTGTAATTATTATAGAGGCAGCATACTGAAATTTGAGATCTGGGCATTGGATTTCTGAGTTGAATTCATGGGGAGCACAGAAGAGAGAATTGTTGCTGTAATCATGGTGGGCGGACCAACTAAAGGTATTGTTATGAACCTTATTTCGTTTTATTTATGAGTAATTGTACTCTAATTCTGATGAATATTTGATAGTTTGGAGGAATTAGTTGGACCTTTTATGAATTTGATGAATATGAGTAGTACGTGATGAATTTTTCTTTTGATTTTACTGTTTTGCTGATAAAGTTCAAATTTTGTTAGAATAATGAGACCCGTTAATTTATTTTGTTGTTCAATTATGGAATTTGAGAATGCAGGTACAAGATTCAGACCACTGTCATTGAACATTCCGAAGCCACTATTTCCATTAGCAGGACAAGCAATGGTCCATCATCCTATCTCTGCTTGTAAAAGGGTAAGAAATGTCATTTGGATGTTTGCCAGACAATCAAAAGATTTTGCCTAATTGGCATTGTCTTAATTGATACTAGAAGTTAGCTTTGTCTTCTAATAGTGTGGACATTTCGAGTAGTGAAATTGAATATCCTCAATATTATATGGATCTAGTATATTAACTACGTGGGGTGCTGATCAATAAAGTAACTTTCCTTTTGTATTCATTTATCAGATCCCAAATCTGGCACAGATCTACCTAATTGGTTTCTACGAGGAGCGGGAATTTGCATTATTTGTTTCTTCAGTTTCTAACGAGCTTAGAGTTCCCGTCAGGTAATTCTGCTTCTTCTTAAAAATTTTTGACAGTGTTGAAGGTTACCATAATTACAGCCGTTGAATACTGAAGCTCTCCATGTTGTTTCCTGTTGCTCTTTCTGTTATTAGATACTTGAAAGAGGATAAGCCACATGGTTCAGCTGGTGGTCTTTATAACTTCAGGGATTTGATCATGGAAGACAACCCGGTTTGAATTATTTACTTTTATCATATTATTTACTTAACTAGGATGATATGTATATATATGTATGTGTGCGTGCGTGCGTGTGTGTGTTTTTGGTTTCCAATCCTTTTTCGATGTCTATGTTAAGACGGCCATTTTAATTTACTTGACAGTCACACATTGTATTGCTGAATTGTGACGTTTGTTGTAGTTTTCCACTGCCTGATATGCTAGGTAATTATCTGTATTTCCACCTTACTTTGCTTCTTAAAGAGTGCAAATGCACATTTTATCAAAATCTGTATATATCGAACCATCTTTTCTGAAAATTAAATTGCTGGTCGATGCCTTAAATTTGCAGAGGCCCACAGAAGATATGGTGGAATGGGAACTATTTTGGTAATCAAGGTTGGTGACTCTGTTTTTAGGCCATCTATCCACGAAATTATCCATTCCATTATCATCGTTCCTCGGAGTATTTTCTTTACTTCCATTTATTATGGTTTCAATTTCTTATCTCTTTCCATATGCAGGTATCTCCTGAGTCAGCATACCAGTTTGGGGAACTTGTGGCTGATCCTGTTACTAATGAACTGTTGCACTATGCTGAGAAACCTGAAACTTTTGTACGTAACAATTCTGAGATTTATTTAGTATTTAATTCTTGTACTGCTTCATGATGTCTTCAGCTTATGCTCGATTGCCTTTCGTGTTAGTTTGTAAAAAGTAAATACAAAGGAATTATTATCATGAATTTTATCAAATTTTTACCTTGGAGAGAAATTTATCAGGTTTGCCAGTCTTGTAGAAGACACCAGTAACGGCTATCCGGTTCTTCACATTTAGGTCCGAGGTTTGGTGTACCAAGTGCAGTTCCATGGCGTACCTGTTAAAGAAATTTGTAGTATTTTGAGCGTCGATTCTCGGCTGCACACTGGGAAAACATACATACAATCACACACAGTGAAGTGCCAAATGCTAATAATACCTTCTACCATTAATAGTGTGTTCAGAAGGAGAGTGCCAATGAGCTTGTCGAAGAGGGTACTCCGTCCCATTGATCAATATCGATCCTGCATCACCGTTCCAACGAAGCTGCGTGTCGAGGAATTTCTATAGTTAATTCTTGAACTACTATGTCTTCAACACGTTTGTTCACATAAAGAATGAATTAAATTTTTGTTAAAGACTTGACACGGGAAATATTAAAGATTTTTTTTTTGCTAAATTTGTATAGAAAATGTGATGATGAATCATTGTGACAGCATGTTCTTTATTTTGTGATGATTGATTGTGATTTTGAATCAAGTCTTATTAAAAAGGAGATAGATTAGACTAAGGGTCCGTTTGATTTCAAAGATGTAATTGAATTAAAACGAATTTTAGGAAATTGAATTGTCTAGAAATTTTTTTCTGTGAATTGTAAATTATTGTGTTTGATTGGTATAATTTTTCACGTGAAAAATGTTGAAATAAAAGTGTTTTTTATGTTCGTTTGGCTGTATTTTACAAGAAAAATGTCAATTAAAGAAATAAGATTTACTGGTATTGGATATGAAATTTGTTTCCATTGTCAGCAAAAAAAATATCAAGAAAATCATCTGTCTTTTGGTGTTCGTTTGGCTTTGTTTTACATGAAAATTGTCTGTAAATGAAAAATATTTTTTTACAATAATTCTTAGAATTTATTTTCATTATAAAAAAAAATTAAAAATTAAAAAATCGCTACAGTAACTGAGAATTCCAATTCGGACAATTTTGGTGAGAGTTCCAATTCCATGATTTCATGGAAAATGCTGACGTGACAAGAAAGTGAGAATTTCAATTCCATGAAAAATTTTGGATAATCAAACAACCAAAAGTTAGAAAATGGAATGGAAAAAGTGGAGCAATCAAACACTACCTAATTTGTTTAAATTATGTCTTAAGCCAGCTATCAATTAACCATAATGGCTAAAGATGGAATTGAATTATAAAATACTGGAAAATATAAAGAACATAATAATTGGTATAGCACACTCACGAAGCCAACTAGTCAATCTTGTTTTGTGCTGGGGTAGAGAGAGAATAAATAAGAATAATGGATTCCCGACACTATGTGATAGATTCAACTAAAGAAGAAATTATGTGATTCATTTAATTGCATATTTTATTTAATGACAGCTAATGCCACCTACACTAAGTTCTAAATAGGATTACTATTATTTTCATTTTGCTCACAGGGCACATCTCCAAGTGGTAAAAGGAAAGGGTGGAGAAATCCAGTTTTACTTGAGACTGTTGCGTCAAGGGTTCGAATCCTGAAATATGAATTTGGCTCTTTGGTAAGTGCAAGTGTACAAGCAGCCTTCCACCCTGCACCTTTGGAGGCATAACCTGCGATTTACCTCCCTCACGATACTCCAGGACAGGGGCGATGGGGAACCCTTAAAGTTGGGGTTCAACCTTTTTTAAATAGCATTACTCAATATGAATAATGGACGGTGCATAGCTTTTGAAAAGTTAAAAGTTATTTTTGAGATTAAAAAACTATTCTTGAACTGTGTTTTGTCCGATCAAAAGTGATTTATAAAAAGTTGGTTTGAGGTGGGGGAAGCTCTTCTACAATTAAATTAAGTGGAGATGGAGAAATGTATCCTTACCGAAATATCATGACCTCTATTCCTGACAGTGGCATTGAAAGGCTTATAATTCCTGTTTTCTGGTTTCGAGATAACTCTCACTCTTTCATTTGACATATCAATGGGAGACTGCAATTTTCCATCCTTGCATGCTGCCCATTCTTTCTTCAACTCTCCCCATTTTCTCGGACCCTTATCGCTTTCCTTCGCGTAATCAAATTCTCTCTCATCCTCTGCACATAAAAGATAAATCCCTGTTCAGATTCAAGAAAATAACACACAGACATAAACATTAATGATCATAAAATATTTCTAATTTCTTGCATTACCAACTTCTTGAGCATTTACTGATTTTGCACCAAGCAGAAAAAGCAATGCAAGAATTGAAGCTAGAATATAGGTGGATGTCTTCATGGATTCCTTTCTATATTTTGGAAGAAACGACTGAAAATTCTTGATTTAAACATTGTATTATGGGTTTATATAGAAATAATTGTCGGTATTAATTATTAGCGTTAGGTGTAATGACCTACCGGTGCGGGATTTTTCCTGCAACTTCCCTGATTTCACGTGTGTGAACGGGAAATACTTTATAGACACCAATTAGAGCACGAAATGAATAGATTTCGGGCAACATGTTTTAGTTGTAATATTAGTGGGGTCCTACCATACATATATTTGTTTTTACCTACCTTCATGACTTCTTCCCAGCAGAAAAGAATTAACAGTAAACTATGCCAACCACCGCGTCCGCCAGCTGCGCAGAAATCTCCAAAATGGAGAAACGACAGTGATTAGAACCATTTTTGGATTCCAGTGTTGTTCGTGGAATAACTTTAATTTGACAATAATACATGAGACAACGAATTTCAAATTTCAGAATTTACGTGCTTTTTTCAATGAGAAAAGAAGTAAATATATAGGAAAGAATAGGAGTAAACCCGATTTATGATAGCTATACTTTCATTTATTTTCAATTATGTAATTGTTACTTCAATTTTGGTCAATGGACTAATCACATTTTAATTTAATTTTGATCAATTAACTTCATTCAATTGCACTATTTGGACTTATGGAAATTGATGACATGATACTATGATAGTTACAAAGTGATGATCGTCATTTATTTCATTAAAGTCTTACTTATTCCATGTTAGCAACTAATCATTACGTGTAATGGTCATTAGATATTGACGATCATGCCATCAATTTCTATAGTGAACTTGACAAAGTTCGTCTTATGTGAAATCAAATCAAACTGTAGTTATCCAATTGAGATCAAATTAAAGTATATTTTCTGATTAGAGTTGATGATGGAAGAATAAGGAACAAGGAATGAATAATGTAGGCCGTTCTTTTGACGAGAGGGACGTGATTTTGAAACTACATAGATTTTCTCAAAAAATATTCAGGAAATTTGATTATAATCATGCAAATTAAACAATTATTTAAGAAATAAATTGTTTTCTAAAATAAAAGATACATGTATTTATGAAGAAGAATATTAAAGACTAGTATATTTTGAAGTCTTCGGACAAAAAACGTGCAGGTCCTAATTTTTCTTCGAACTTATAGATATACTCTAGAAATTCCTGGTCCAAAATACAATACAATGGGAGTCATTACATCAAGAAAGTTAGTCAAAACACATAAAACATTCTTATTTGTACAAATATGACTCAATGTGCAATATCATACATGCTTCATATAAAGTTATATAATGGTCTCTATATATTACAAATCATCAATCGATTTGATAGCGGTTAATAGCTCAATTCAATTTTTAATATTTTAGAATACATTAGAATTTCGTTAGTATAGATCATTACTGGTTTACATTTGAATTGAAATTGACCAATTCGATTCGAGTCGATTTTCAACTAATATCAAGTCAATTTCAAGTTAGAATTTCATCTAATCTGAAAAGTAAATTTTGTGATTGGATGAGGTCTGAATCGGACCAAGTCGACCTGAGTCCACCCCTATAAGCAGCCATGTCCCATATATTTGGATTCGTCTCTTTGTATGCTTCTTCCATTTATTATCATTTGGATTGATTGAAGAAGATTTGAATGACTCAGTTGATGTTACATTCAAGTCATTAGCCGTTTTATGGACCAAAGAGGGTTCAATAATTGAGACTTAATATCGTATATTAATTTATTAGTGTCTTCTTGTATATCTATTGTTACGCTCCGATCTGATACGCCTCGGAACGCTCACCACCATATATTCCGACCTCGTAAAGACTCGTCCGAAGTGATGTCAGCAATGCCTGCAACCTAGTAGTACGAACCTGACCAAAAGTACCTCGCCCCCGAGGCCAAGTGGACCCCGATTAAAGGATCCGCCGCCAATTTCAGAAAGAGATTTGTGTCAAGATCTTTCCTGCACCTAAAGTTTAAATTGATTTGACGTCTCCATGAGGCTAGATGATGTGATTTATCAACTTTATGTCAATTCAACTCAGAAGAGACAAGCTGTCCGCCCACTCTTCAGACGCGGCTGATTGACGCCTATGAGCGAACGCCTCATACCGCCAGATGTATACACGCGTCCCACAGCCAAGGGCTCATACCACCTATAAATACCCAAGGTTTGGCAAGAGGTAAAGGTACTGAAACTCTTATTACATAGCACTGCATAGCAAGCTTATATATTTTCTCCTTCCCCATTACCATTGATTTGCACAGCCCCTGGGTACTGTTTCGACCACTTAAACCTGATTTGACCGTCGGAGTGTATACGGCCGCCGCCACCCTTGTTGGTCCCGACCGTGTGCGTCTGACCATTCGCTAATTGTGTGCAGGGAGGAATACGTGGAGTAGCTCAGTTGACCACGTGGAAGAACGAATTTTCGAGGTCAACAGATTGGTGCCGTCTGTGGGAAACACTTCCCATTCGAAGTTTTGCATTCTCCATCGTAGAAGTTACCGGAAAACTAGTGACTAACCCTGAAAAGGGGACATTCTTGAAAAAAAAACAAAGTCGAATTACAATCCAAGTTCTCACTACCCTTGAAAAAGAGATTGGATGAGCTATAGCCATGAAGACGACAACCCCATGAGAGAGGCCTCTGAAGAAGAGGTACTCCATAACAATGTTACTCATCAGAGACCACATCACTGGCATCGCCGAGGTGGAAGAACAGCCATACTCACTAAAGGGATGGCTCAGATAGCTGCAGGTATGAGAGACATCACAGCTCAGAATATGGTAATGCATGAACTCCTCATGCAAGCCCAGGGTCATCAGGGCTATCAAATGCCCCAGGGATCTTATCCGGTGCGGGAAGCTCCTGTATCTCACTCCCGAGGTCACATGAGCCGACACACGAAACGTCCCCTCGAAAGGGAGATGAACGTTGAAGCTATATCTTATGTGCAAGGGAGTCAGCCTTCAGAACCACGCTTGGGGGACAATTTCCCTCAAGAACATGAGGACCAAAGGTCGGTAAGTATCTTCGACCGGATAGAAGAGGGTCCTAGCAATAGGGTCCGCCCAACAAGAAGATCAGTTCGTTCAGATCACGAACTAGAACGTGCTCCCCCTCCTCCTCCTAGAAATAGGAGAGATAGGAGGAACCTAGTCGATTGGAAAAGTCGAGGAGAAGCACATCCACCTCTCCAGAACATCCAAGATGATGAAGGGTCAGATGGGCCCTGTCGATCTTATGAGATTGATGATGATGATGATAACCTCTAGTTCTCAAGGAAGATCCAAAGCTTTTCAATGCCAACAAATTTCATGCCCCCTAAGATCCCCAAGTATGAAGGAAATGGGGATCCGGAGAAGCACCTCACCAAGTACATGACACAGATGAGCCTAAGGGGAGCCTCGCCTGCTTTAAAATACAGAGCCTTCCATTTAACGCTAGGCGAGGCCGTCGAGGTATGGTACAACAGGCTTCCTCCCCTAAGCATCAGAAGTTGGCCAGATTTGAAGAAAGTATTTTTGAACCAGTACCTCTCACGCAGGGAAGGAGAGGCACCAGTGCAGCGCCTGCAAGATATGAGGCAGACCCCTGGAGAGACGCTGAAAAGCTATCTCGCCAGGTTTACAGACGAAATCACCTACTGCGAATAGATCACTGACAGAGAAGCCCTTTCAGCCCTAAAAGGTGGGCTCAACATGAACACTTTGTTCTGGAAGGACGTGTGCAGCAAGAATCCCTCCACATATGACGAGCTGGTGAAAATGATGAGGGTGGAAATTGTTAGTGAAGAAATGATTGATCATCGCAACCGTACCGCGTAGGGACTCCCTCCTCCTCAGAGGCAGGTAGGTCGAGGACCCGCAGCACACCTTGTTACTCAGCAATGGACCCAAGCGGGTCATACAATAACTCCCACATCCGGACAGGCCCTGGCTTCCGCCATATTGAATGCAGTACCGGTATTGGCATATGATAATGCCTCTGTCGAAGCGGGACCATCTGGTAGAGCTGATAACAAGAAGAAGAAGAAGAAGAAAAGGTCAAACAGGCCCTTGGAAGGGGCAAGGTTTTGTACGTTCCATCAACTCTATGGACATGACACTAGTGAGTGCCGAGATGCCAATCGACGCTCTGATCGAAGTAACCCGCACCCTTCCAGCAGGGACGAATACCCTCGCAGATCCGCCTCCCCGAGAAGGGGAGGGAGAGGTCACAGGGAACAATCTCCTCAGAGAAGAGAATCAAGGGACTAGGTCAATCAAGACAGGGAAACCAATCCTAATTTTCTGGAAGCCAGGTCATCAGGAAAATCGATACTATCATTGGGGAACCCCACGACGGTGGCAACACCAAGAATGCCCAGAGGAATTACACAAGGGAAGCAAAGGACCCCCCAATGATCACTTACATTGTCAATGAATCGCAAGCAGCAGATAGGATGACCCCAATCACCTTCTCCCAGGAAGACTCAAAGGGGGTTCACCACCCTCATTGTGATGCATTGGTTGTAAGAGCCGTAGTAGCTAGAAATGAATTAAATCGTGAAGGGTAAGTAGGCGCAAGGTCCACCCAAAGCGGACAGTACATAAGCTAACGGTTTGGGTACAGAAATCCGGGTCATTACAACTTGCTTTTCACTTGTGGCTTGCTTGCTTTACAGCAGTTCGATTTGCATTACAGGATATTGAGTTTCTTGGAAAGAAGTCATCTGAACCATATACTTCGAGAAGTACAAAGAAAAAGTAATATAACTTCCAAATGCCCATCTTTTTTAGTGGATTGGTCTATAACTTTAGTTTAACTAATGACATTTTCTAAACTTTTTCTTAGTTGTCCTAAAATTCAACAATTTCCAGTTAATGTAACAATATTGTGTTTTCTACACTTCTGCATATGGAGTTATGCTAAAATGCTTTTCACTTGTCATCTGTTAGATGAATTCTGAAGACTTTTGCCACATTGCCTCTATATGTACAGAACAAATAGGCTCCAAATGTCGATGGTTTTTTGCCCTTTGAATTTCATGAAGTTTGAAAA